TATTGACAGTTGTCATGGAGATGAACATTATCTCTCGCTCAGTTTTGTGTCTGTTAAGCGCCCACCTGGACAGTAAGGACCTGTGCCAGCTCAGTGATGTCATTAAGGAATCAAGTTCCATTCTTTACTCCATTGTTTAAAGTCTAGCCCTTTTCAGAGACCTATGGGTCCTCAGGTGGCTGCCAGTGGTAACCAGAGCCTCGTTCTTTTTTCCTATTTGCAGAGCAAAGGGAATGGCTTCCTGTGTCTTTCTCTTTAAGATTAAAGAAATTTCATTTCCAGAAACACCCAGGCAATCTCTTGTGTCCCATGGCCAAGGAAGTTTCGATCTGCTTATCTCTCAGCCAGCTAATGGCAAGGAGGGGATGGAATTACCTTTAGTGTTCTAAGGGTTTATCCCTTGAGCTGAGGTGAAGTCCATGATGACCCTACATTCCACCTGCTGGATAATTCATCCACCTTCAGTTGTGTACACCTTAGAAATACCCATGGCTCTGTGAGATCACATGCTCCCTTTGTCTAAGGAGGCAACCCAAATAATTCATTTAAGTATTGCAAGGATCTCTGGGCGATACACTGTCCCTTCTCTAACACCTGAAAGGAGTTTTTTTTTTTTTTTTTTTTTAATGGTCTAGTGACTTAATGGCTGAATAGGTGTGGTCCCCCAAACATCAACCTACAACTGTGAAGAAAGAGTAGGATGCTACAATAAACCTCCCACTTGGAGAGGGGAAAAATAAGAAAACTCAGTGTGGTAGCTGGCGGATCAGGACTAGCAAGGAGTCCCTGGCTGGTCAGCTAGTCTGGCAGCTTCTGGCTTTGCTGGATTAGGCCCAGTGTGAGACCCTCCTGCAGTCCCTGTCCTCTGCAGCTGCACCTGGCTGGGGCCAGCACTGGCAGACTGCCCCTTCTTGGGTCCTGCTGGGTGTGAGTTTGGGGCTTTAGGGTTGTGTGTCTGGGGTTGAACAGCCACAGGCTAGTGTCCTCTGATCTGAATGTTTGGCAGCAGGATTGCTCCTGTGAAAACTTAGTGTCTGAGTTTATTTGCTTCTAGTCAATTCCTTGGGCTGGTAAGAACAGCCAGTGACCTTATCTAGATGAGGTCTGTGGTTCTGGGAATTTCTTTGTCTTAGTGACTGGTCTCCATGCCCTGTTCATTCCTAGGGCTTCTACCTCCAGGCAGTTTGAAAGGAGCCTTGAATGATCGGCACAGAGTTTGGGTCCAGTAGCCATCCAGGCACTTGAATCCACTCTGCCTTTGCTCTGCCTATTCAGAAGGGCCAACTTCCCCAGACTGGGGCTTTGGGACCCACAGGACCCCCTACCTGCCCCCTGACTCAGCCATTCCAATTTTATTTATAGCCCTTATTTTACACAAAATCTGTTGTAGTTAGGGCTCTTGATTGCGAGCAACACTGACCAATTCTGATGAGTTTAAGCAGAAAGGGATTTATTGAAGGCATTTTGGATAGCACAGAAGTACCTGTCAAACTAGAGACCCAGGCCTAGATAGCAGTCAGGGGCCAGGGGAGGCTGGGCACCCCAGATCATGGCCAGAGAACCCTGGCTCCTGCCACTGAGTGCCGCCCACACCCCCGCTGCACATCTGGCTCCGGAGGCGGTGTCGCGGGGGCCGCACCAGCTGTCTTCTTTCTTACCCGTGTTGGCAGTCCTCACAACCATTCGGGTTCGGTGATTCGAGAGGAGGACTCACCAGACCCAGAAATGGTTGTACTCACAGTTACGGTTTATTACAGTGATAGGATACCGAGCAAAATCTAAAGAAAAGCTGCATGTAGTGAGGTCCAGAGGAAGCCAGGTTCTGAGCTTCCGGGAGTCTCTCCGAGGGGCGGCACACGGGATGCGCTTAATTCCTCCAGTGGCGGTTGTGCCCATGTGTGTGCAATGTCGTCCATCGGGGAAGCTCCTAGAGACTCCGTGCCAGGGATTTTATCAGGGCCTGCTCCTGTAAGCACCTTCTGTCCAGCACGTACGACCATTCCAGACTCCGGGAAGGGGAGTCAGTGTTCAGCATGAACCACGTGGTTGGCACAGTCTCTGGGCCCAGTGAGGCACACTTCTCATTTCGGGAACATTTTCTGTCTGTGGAAGGAACCGTTGACCATTCGAGTTCCCAGACACCAGCCAAGGGCCAGTCCTGAAAGCAGGCTTTTGTAAGGAGAGCAGTCTCGGGCCTGCTGCACCACTTCTGTTCCTGCATCCTGCCTCTCAGAGGCCTTGGCCAGTCTCGGTCATGTGCCAGCAACCCTTGCTGCCAGGGGAGGGGTAGGAGGGCTTTGTTCCTCCTTTCTGAAATGTTTGGTTTCTGTTGGGGGAGGTAGGCCTGGCCTCCCACCAGAAGTCACACTGTGGGGGATCCCCAGACATAAGAATTGTTTTCAGATGCTGGGCAGCACAGCATCTCCCCCCCCACAAAGAAGACCCCGCTAAGCATGAATTGGGCCCATTATAAATGTTAAATGAGTGTTCGCAGTAGTGAGGCGATGCGGTGTGTGTGTGTTGAGCTATGGCCATCCCTGCATCAGGGAGAGGCTATGACATGTTTTCGTGTCCTCGATGGGGGCTGAGTGCCCCCCCCCAAGTGCTACAGGTCCAGGGGCCTGCAGTATAATAGGGGATATGATAGGGATTGAGCTGAGCCCGAATGAGGTATTGCCAGCTACTTGAGGTTTGGAGACAGAATGTTCCAGATGGGGGAAGAGCAAACGTGAAGGCCCCAAGATGAAAATGAGCAGGAGGAACAGAAGGAAAACCAGAGTGGCTGGAGCATGGGGGGCCTCGCAGGCAGTGGGGTCAGAGAGGGGGACAGCGGACAGATCAGGAATGGCCTTGACAGCCAGTGTGGAGGGCTGAGGTTTCCTCAGTGCGGTGGGAAGCCGGGTTGGAGGGTTTCTGGCAGGGGAGTAGTGGGATCTGACTTGTGACTTGAAGCGACTCTGGAGAAGGGGTTGTTGGGGGTGGGGCAGGAGTGAAAGCAGGGAGGCCAGTCAGGGAGCTGTGGTACTGGTCTACGAGGAGGTGTGGCAAGCTGGGATCCAGGCTGGGGCACGGCAGCAGGTGTGTGTGTGTGTGTGTGTGTGTGTGTGTGTGTGTGTGTGTGTAATGGATGGAAAGAACAAGATTGGGGGGAAATCGGGAGATCAGCAGGTCTGTGTCGATGAGGCTAAAAGTGATAGAGCTATGAAGCGTCGGGGTGATGCCCACAGGCAGGGGGATATGAGTGTCTAGAACCCAGTGGAGCCCTCGGGCCGGGGATGGGACGTTGGAGCGCCTGGTGTCTAGTTGACACTTAAGGCTTGGGACTCGGGAAGGTGAGGATGCAGGTGGAGGCCCTGGGCAAGGAGGGTGGCCATTGGGGTGGGACCGGCCAGTGCGCCTGGTGCTGTGGGGGCCAAGTGCTGGGGGGCCTGGGGCGCACACGTTGGTGGCCCGGCTGAAAGCTGTGCTAGGAGGGGTGAGAATGGATGCCCTGGGAGGGGAGCAGACACAGGTGGGGACTGGAGGCGGCTCTGGGGAGGAATTTCGCTATGAACACGAGTGGAGACCTGTGGCGCTGGAGAGCAAGGAATGGGTCCTGGAGGATGTTTTCTGAAGTTGGGAGACCCCAGAGTGTATTTGTGTGCGGAGAGGGAGAAATTGGTGCAGTGAGGGGATCTGCCTACACAGTGAGCTTGGTGTGATCATCGCTGTGGGGTTTCTGGGCCTGCATTCGAAACCATCTCTGGTTCTCTTGGCATAGGTGACCCTTCATCTGCCTCAGGCCAAGGAGGTGAAACGCCAGTACATCAGTGCTGACCTCCTCCTGCCTAGTGAAGGCCAGATGATGGTGGACGGGGGTCATGGGTGTGAGTTTCCCTACAGCTGGAAGGGCACGGAGCACTGAGTCGGCACCAAACATGCAGAGCTGGCATGGCCTTGCTGGGCTCTGGGAACCAGCCTGGTGGCAGCCAGTGCCACATGATGCACACCTAGTTCATGTCTCCTGAATGGAATCACAACCCAGAATTTTAAGTCTGCACAGAGGAGAATTGAGAGAGATTTTTCACCTTTCAGATGGAATGTCAAGCTTGGGAATTACCCTTCTAATTCGTGGTCGATAGCCACAGTACGCTTCCTGGTGTCCTCGACCTTCTCTCTCCCATTGCCCTCTTTGAAATGCTTTTATACGCTTATATTTTAAAGTAACTTTAGTCTTGTTAGAATGAGGCTGGTCTTAATACACAAAAAGGTTAATAATTGCAGGAAGGGACAGGAATGCCCTTTCATGGACAGGTTGAGGTGGGTTGGCAAGTCCAGATTCCATAATGTCCCTGTTGAAGGAGCAACTGCTTAGTTTTCTTATTATTGTGATTTTAACGCCCAGGCAACAAGGACCACGCCTTTCTTTGCCAGGCAGGCTGAATTCTGCCTGGAGTCTGCAAAATGGCATTTCAAGCAGGTGCTCTGGTATGGACAATGACAGCTTCAACCGTTTCTTTGCCCTTTTAAGAATCTGTGGAAAATAAAACCCAGGGTGTGTCAGAGGATCAAAGGCGAATCTGTGCCCTTCTGTTGAATGTATTTGCCTCCTTGGGGCTTGGAGAGGCAATAGGTGTGTCTGTCCAGTTCGGATTTTACTCTTACGTCTTCTCCTTCCCCTCCTAAATTCTAGGTCATGGAATAGACGAGAAAAAAGGGATAATCTCTATGGCATGAACAATTTAGGATTCAAAAAGATCTTAAAAAGAACTTTCTCTCTCTCTCTCTCTCTCTTTTTTTTTTTTTTTTTTTTTGGGCCAGCAGATCTGATGAGATTGTCTGATCTGCAAGGGTCTTGGCTGGAGTGCACACCTCCCGGGCCTGATGTTGTGCTGGGGACGGAGGTGGGGGCGGGGCATGCAGCTCTGGCTTCCGGGAAGTGTTGTGATGTGTTTGAGCCCCGCCCAAGACCGCGATGGCACGTGGTGGCCGTGAAGCAGCAGAAACATCTGTACAGGACGTTGCTTTGGGGTCTGGGGCATGAAGATAGGTGGAGAAGCCCGCCAGGGTGTCCAGTTTCACAAAGTGAGCTTCTGAGCTGAGTTTTAGATGAAAATAAGTGAACAGCTAAAATTTGAGCACTTCCCACATGCGAGGTGCAGATATTAAGGTCTTATAAAAGCGGACTCACCTAATCGTTACATCAGCTCTTGGAGGTGGGTCCTCCTGGCTCCGTCATACCGGGTCAGGGTGAGAGACTGACGCACAGAGGTGTTAACTGACTCGCTCAGAGCATCACCGAGCCAGTAGCTGGCAGAGCCAGGACTTGAATCCGGGCAGTCTGGCTCCCAGGACCGTGGGTGGAACCACCACGCCCCGGGGTCTCAGGACAGTTCTTCAGGGATGGGGAGGAGGGCACCGCGGAGGCCCTCGTGGCCAGATGGAAAGGCAGAGAAGAAGTGGCTGTGTGGACCTCGTCGAGGAACTGGGTACCCATCCTCTGAGGGACTTTGGGAAACCGGTGTTGATGGTGCTTTTTTGGTGCTCACCATGCAGCAAGGGGAGAGTGGATGTGAGGTGAGTAATGGTGGGTGGTCACGCAGCTGGCCAGGTACAGAGGGTGGTGATGACTGTAGGAACCAGCAAGGGGGATAAATGCAGGAGGTATTTAGGATGCAGGTGGCACTGGATTGATGACTGGCTGATGAGATGAGAAAAAAGGACTGTAGAATAATCACCTACCTTTCTTGTTTCCGGGGGCTACATTAATGGGAGGAAGGGAGAAACCTACATCTATTTTTTCTTATTACTATTATTTTTTTAAAGATGTACTTATTTTAGAGCCTGTGTGTGAGGGGAGGGAGGAACGGAGGGAGAATCCTTGAGCAGACTTCCCTGAGTCTGAGTGTAGAGCCCAATGTGGGGCTCGATCCCAGGATCCTGAGATCATGACCTGAGCCAAAGGCAGATGCTTAACCAGCTGAGCCACCCAGGTGCCCCGAAACCTGCATTTATTAAATACCTAGTATAAAGGTTCTAAACTGGGGGACATAACCCCCTCCAACATTTGGCTATGCCTGGAGACATTGTTGGTTGTCACAACTTGGGAGGTGCTACTGGAGTCTAGTGGGTTAGAGGCAGGGGATGCTGTTAAACATCCTGCAAGGCACAGGGCATCCCTGACAACGAAGAAATACCTGGCCCCGAATGCCAGTAGTGCCAAGGTTGAGCAATTCCACTCCAGTATATGTATCAGTTTTACGTAGCTATCTAACTTAACCCGTGAACCAATCATGAGACGTTATAAATTCCATCTTTCACATTTTTCCAGTGAGAAAACCAAGGCTTAGTGGGGAACAGGTTCAAAGCCAGGGAGCTGCTAGTAAGTGCCAGAGTCGGCATTTGAACCCATGTCAGAATCCAGACATGTCTTCTCAGTTCTCCCTGCTGCTCTTCTTCCTCACATTGCTGCAAAGGAAGAGGCTCGTCAGACCGTGAGGTTCTTTTTCTGTAGCGTTGGCTCCAGACTGGAGGAGGCAGGAAGGAAGGTGGTTATTTATACTCAGCTCTGCATAGGATCGAATAGCTCTGCATTTTCCAATCCTGAAGGTCTTACAGTGAGGATTTCACAGAAATATGATCATTTAGACGTTGGCGTCCCCCTGCAGGTCTAAATATGGGAACACATACTATCTTTTCCTTTAAAAATACTACTGTTAATTTATGATAACCAAAAATGCAGAAATTTTCATTCCAAACCCTGTTTATTCCTTGTGCATATGAACTATTGCAGGCCCCTCTTAGTAATTTAATTACTAAGTATCCCTTTAGGAAGAGATAGCATGAAGAGGGGAATTTGGAAGATCCCATAGGACTGCTCTGGATTTAGAGATAAATTTAAAAATACATTGATTTGCCAGAGGTAAGGGGCCCTTTTGAGAATCGGTTTGTTTTAGTGTGGTCTAGAATGACCAGACAGCTTTTGGTAGCTCAGGATACAGTTGCTAATTTTCTAATGGGTTTTCGAATTATTATCCAGCTCCTGGGCAGATTTTGGATGTATTAGCAGCCTTCCTTGATAGCTCGTGAGATTAGAGCTTTGGGATCAAGTTCTCATAGTTGAACTGTCCATGATATCCTATTACTGATATTTTCAGAGTTACATATTTTAGGATCTAGTCTTGGATGGTGATGTGAAGGAGGCTGCCCCACTGAAATTGGGATAGGAACTTTTATGGGCATGATTTGTCTGTTTAAAACAGTCTTTGTGTTGTGTAGTCTTATTTTTTGCTGGCCACACGGTGTCCTGGCGCTTGGGCTGCTGGGACCATTTGGTGAGCATGAAGTTTCTGTCTTTCACCCATTGGATCTGTTGTCCTGAAACAGATGGGGTTCTTTAGTCCGGCCAGTGCTTTGGGGGAGTCCTGTTTGCTGCACCTGCTAATCTGTTGTCAGATCTGCTAGAAAGTTGATGCTCAGGGAGTACCGAGGAGTTTGGCAAACCAACAGTAGAGCCACAAAGGTTTCTGTTGGGAGAGTTCATGTTTTCATTATGGCACAGATGGATACAAAATCAGGATGAAAATGAGACAAGGAGGACCTAAAACTTCATTGTTTGCTTCCATCTTGGTGTTAGTGGTCGCTAGCCTGGATTAGACCACATTCAGCATTGAACTCGTGTAGTTTCTGCGTTTCAGATCCCTTGTTTAGGTTCATAAGCATAACTCAAAAGTAGTAGTAGGTAGTTTTGATAAACTGAAGGCATGATCTGTGAAACGAACTCTAGTAAAGTTGTCTCTATATTGAGGCATAACCATCAACATAACAAACGTAACAAACGTTTATTCACTATATTAATGTTAATATTATTCAGTGCTTAACTGATTGGGTTGAGCTTTCTTCTGCCCCAAGATTTCCCAGTGAGGAAGACCTTATTCTATATTGCTTGCCTTGGGAAGAACAAATTAATTGCGTTTCCTTTTTGGGGTGGGAAGACCACAGGCAACTTGATACAGTATTTTTTAAAGCTTTTATAGAGTAGACCTCCTTTAGAGAGAAAACATTAGTGGGGACACCACGTGTGGCCTTAAATTTATTTTTTATTATAATGTCTTAAAATATGTCTAAACATAAAAGGAATTAACATGTTTATAGTGCATGTATCACCATAATGATCACTAAAACCAATGTGCAGATTCATTACAAATCTAATTCCCAACCTAATTCAGTTGAACTATGATTTTATTTTATTGTATTTTTTTAAAGATTTTATTTATTTATTTGACACAGAGAGACACAGCGAGAACAGGAACACAAGCAGGGGGAGTGGCAGAGGAGGAAGCAGGCTTCCCGCAGAGCAGGGAGCCCGATGTGGGGCTTGATCCCAGGACCCCGGGACCATGACCTGAGCTGAAGGGAGCCGCTTAATGACTGAGCCACCCAGGTGCCCCTGAACTATGATTTTAATGTGACAGGTGATGCTGTTTTGCTAAAACCACAGCTATCATATCCATGCTCAGGAAGCACGAGCTGCTAGGACAAGTTTTCCTTTCCTGACCTACCACGTGCGGGGAGTTGTGGGGGGGGTGGTCCATCGTTTAATTCTGTTCTCCTTTACTTCTGTTTTCTACTGTACTATGTGCTGGAGCATGAAGGTGTCTTTGACTTGAAGTCTTGTTAGCTGGAGACCCAGGGAAGTACTGCTTCCATCTTGACCATGAATACAAGTGCCAGTGGAATCTCCAGAAATCAGTGGGCGTACGCAGTGACATGAGGTGGCCATGTAGATGACCTAGAATGTGCTTGTATTAATGTATGAAGGTCATTGCCTGAGGCTTCCTGTGCAAGTTGTGGTCCCTGCTCTCTAGTCGATCCAGTAGGGAGGGGATTCCAGAATGATGGTGGGTGGCGGAGCCTCTTTGGGAAGCTGATGTGTTCTGTCTCTTGACTCTGCTGTTACACAGCTGTGAGGGGTCAGAACGTGGGGGACTCTCACCCGGCCTCAGCAATATATTGTCAATTAGATCTCACACATCTTAAGCATTGTTGCTGTTTGATCTTGCACAGATCTTGCCTTTACTTTTAAAAGACAGTTTGGTACTGAAAATTCCCCTGGTAAAATAACACAATTCAGGGGTGCCTGGGTGGTTCAGTTGGTTGAACATCTGCCTTTGGTTTGCGTCGTGATCCCGGGGTCCTGGGATCGAGTCCTGCGTCAGACTCCCTGCTCCACGGGGAGTCTGCTTCTCCCTCTGCCTCTCCTTCTCTCTCTCTCTCTCATGAATAAATAATAATTAAAAATAACAATTCATTCAGTCTCCTCTTTCCTTTCCTTAGCAGCCCTTTCCCTTTTTCCCCTGTCACCCGTCAGATGACCTTGCCGATTTTCCAAGTAGTAAATGCTTTTGTTGGATTTTTCTTTTTCAGGGCAACGAAAAATCAGTGATTGGCTCTGAAGTCCCTAGCATGGCAGAGCTCGGGTCTCTGTGCCCTGCACAGCGTGTAGCTGGGGCCTTGGCTACACAGACTTGCACACGGTTCCTGAATAGCTTTGGTATTCTTGCCTTAAAATAATTCCTCCCCCTTTGCTTTTAATCAGGGATGACCATAACATAAGGAACATTTCCTTAACAGATCGACTGGATGCTGCCCATCCGAATGAGCATTGCCATTCAAGGTGGGTTCTTGGGGAGGGTAACTGAAGGTCAGTGAATTTCTCGGTAATCCTTATTCTGTCAAAACTGCTTTTTCAGCCAGGTTACTGTCCCCATTAGCCTCATTGCCTTACAGTAACACCTCATTAAAATGCTCTTAACTGGATTGAACACTTGTCTTAGTCACTATGGCTGGCTTTGAAGCTGTTTCTGGAAATTAAATTTATCCCCTGGGAAAGCATACTTGCCCACCACTCCTGGGTGTTGGATGTAACGGAATCTGGGCTCTCTTGGCAACTCTTCCAGTAGAGAAGGTCTGAGAAGGTGTCGAATGAGGACTTTCTGTTGAAATAAGTGTTAAGAGTCCCAGGGTGGCTAGAATGGCATGCCACAGTTACTCATGCTGGATTCAGAAGGAACCGGCCATATTCTTTAAGATGCATATCTTGTAGAGTTAGTATCAGGAAAGAAAGTTCGTATAAATCTTTAACAAAAGTAAAAGCAGAAACTACTGAATTTTCATGCAGTAGAAATACAGACCCATCCCCCCCCCCCGCTCCCTCCTCATTTCCCCCCCATTCCCCCCCCATCACTTCAGTTGTTTCCTGTTATAAGGTATTTTTGGATGCCTTTTGTAAATCCTGTTTTGAAGCCTCTGTTTTCATAGAAGTTAGGTGGTTTCGGGCTTTATTTGGGACATTGATTTCTAGGCACTAGGAAATTCAGTAACTGGCTGAGCGAGCACTTTCTCCTCGAATGCTGCACGCTCGTTTGGGGATTGGGTTGATTTTTGTGAGGTTTCTAAACTTAGATCCCTCCTCTACACCCACAGTGGATTCAGAATTTGTCATCTTTCAGTGATCCTTGATAGGCTCACCAATGTAAGCTTTTTAAAGGCCCTTTCTTTTACAGTGAAGTTAAATG